TCCCTGACTATAGATCTTCCTAATGCAATTTGTCTTTTGATTTTCTGACTGCTGGTGCCAAGGGTGTTGATTGCCGAACTGAGCAAATGGAAATTGCTAACAATCTCAAATTTATCATGATCCTGCCAATTGGCCCACTGATGAGAATGATCTGTTCTGCATACAGACCTAAAAGGTATGGAGCCAGGACATATCCTGGTTCCACTCCTTTTCTCATTTTGAACTATGCAGCATTTCCTTGCTCTGCTCTGATGACAGCCTCCTAGTCAAACAAAGCATAGATTTTGCATGAGCACAATGAGGTGTTCTGGGATTCACATTCTTCCCAGTTAGCCACAGTTTGTTGTGATCCACACAATCAAATGTCTTTACATAGTCAATGAAATAGGCATCATTCCCCCTCAGTGATTTGGAAAGATCCCTGACTTTCCCAGTGCAATATAGCTCTTGATCTCCTCACTGCTGATATCAAGTGTACTGTCTGTAGATACAAGTAAGATGATGTCATTGACAATCTCAATCCTTCTATCCATCATGATGTTCAGTCCAGTAGCAAAGACTTTTGTTTTCATTATGTTGAGATGTACTCCATATCAAAGGCCGTAGTATTTAACCTTCTGCAGCAAATGCTTCAAATCCTCACTTTACACTTTGAGAAGCAAGGTTGTGTCATCTATATAATGAAAGTTATTGATGAGTCTTTCTCCAATCCTGAAGCCAAATTCTTTATAGATTTCAGCTTCTGCAATAATTTGCTTTACTTACAGATTAAAAGGTATGAATAAAGGATGCAAACCTGACTCATACCTTTCCTAATTTTATAAACTATGCTGTATTCTTTTGCTCTGTTGACACAACAGCTTCTTGGTCTAGATATAGGTTTCTCACGAGCACAATCAAATGTTCTAGAATTCCCATTTTTCTCAATGTTAGCCACAATTTTGTTATGATCCACACAGTAAAATGTCTTCGCATTGTAGTCCATAAAGCACAAATAGATGGCTTTATTTTATCTGGAGGTATGGTGGTAAGGAATTCACTGGCATCCCAAAGGTATGGGATTTGAACCCACCGGCTTCTCAGTGTAAAAAAGATAAGCAATCTCCTCTTATTTATTGCCTCAGAACCCATGGGGGAGGTCAGCTATGGGTCAATTCTGACTCCATGGTACAGAGTACTTGTCTATAATAAAAGATAACGAAGTAAACCAAAGACTTAAAGAAGAAACTAGTCCACAGAACAGCCAAAAGGATTCATGACCTCTTCTAGATGAGACTAGAACTGAATGGTGCCTTGGTATCAACACTACCATCTTCCTGATCAGATGCACAACAGAAGGTCCTGGACAGAATAAAAGGATGTAGCATAAAATTCAAATTCCTAGAAAAGGCTCACCATAAATGTAGATGGATAAATTAGAGAAACCTTTGAGCCTACCACCCACCCTAAGATACACTTTGAAATTGGGACTAAAGCTACTCTTTGAAGTCACCTTTCAATCAAAGATAGTGACTTTTTAAAAGAAACAATATTGTCTGTGAGTAATATGCTCCCTTAAGAAACTACGTAACACTCATCTAATATGTACCCAAAAGCAAAGGTGAGAAGGCATGGAAGAAAAGGAATGCCATTGGTATTTTTATTTGCTACTGAGTATGACTCAAGAGAAATCCTATGAATAAATCTGAACCTCCTCTATCCTGTGCCATTCTCATAATTTCTTACATACTCTCAAACTCACTGTTGCCATCATTGCATCAGTTCATCTTGAAGTAAGGTATACTAGCTCAATAAAGGGAATGTGGACATACAGTGAAAATCCTATCACATGTCCCAATCTGTATAGAAAGTATTAAATGGAAACTCAAGTTGCTAAATAAACTTTTATCAAAAATATGCCCTTGAGATTTTTTTCAAATTATTGTCTGGATTAGCAGTCTGCCTTGAGCCTTGCGCTCTTTGAAAGAATTATCTACATAGGAATGAGCACAGCGGTTAATACTTGTCTCCCGACAGAATTGAGGATGGTATGGCATGGCATAGCACAGCACACTGATCGGTTGTTCGTAGTGTTCTTATGAGTCACAGTTGACTCGACAGCACTTAACCATCATCACCACCACCAATCAGTGGTTAGAACCTACCAGCTCCTCCATGGGAGAAAGACGTAGCAGCCTACCTTTACAAAGATTTACAGCTTTGAAACTCTGAGGTAGTTCTCCTCTATTCTTTAGGGTCTCAATATCAGAATCAAATGCATAGCAATGAGTTGGATTATCTATATGGAACCCAAGCAACAGCAATGAGAAAGGTTAGATCTTGTTACATACGCTTGAGTAGAAACCCACCACAGCTGGCCCTCCAGGTTTTCAGAGGCAGTAAATTACATGGGAGGAGACTGCCCAACTTTCTCCCACCAAGCAGCTGGTAGATTTGAACTGCATACTTTTGAGCTGGCAGCACAATGTTTTACCACCGTCACCAGAACTCTAATTGACAGTAAATGTAAAGAAATGGAGAACTCTGAAAAGGTGGGCTGGAATGATTACAAAAGCCAAAAAAATACTATTAATGTAAATATTGAAAAGGATAAACAGGAATTGTTGAACTAATGCACGTTATGCATATTCTCAAAAAGTATTGAAAATAAAATTGTATGGTTAAAATTCCTTTAAGGAATTGTGCTTCTCCTTAAAGGAATGTATTAGAAGAGTTCAAGGCTCACAGAATTACTAATGCCTTTGGGGAAATTATTCCTAACACATCTGTTCTTTTACTCCATGTAACATCCAATTTTATAAAGCTCTAAATAAAGTGGAGAAAGAATCATATTTAGTATTTTTCTCCCCAAATTACTTAAGCTAACATTCACAATGCAAAACTTTGATATTCTCTAAGAAAGAAAAAAAAAAAAAGACTTATTACTAGTTAACTTAAAATCTTTGAAAAAAATGGCTGTCCTCAATAAACACTGCCATTTTCCCCAAAAGCGTAATTACATTGTAAATTCATGCTCAGGTGTGTCTGTATCATCACATCTCAACAACCAACTCAAAAGCAAAAATTCCAAAAAAGCTGTTTTTATTTTGCAACACCAAAAGACACACCCAGCATCATGTACACATGTGTATTTTTCACATAATTCTGCTAACACACCTCAAACCTAATAGAATCCCATGGTTTCAAGAGACCCGGTTAGATAAAAATTAGGAAACTGCTTTTAGTTACTCTTTAAAATGTTAAATCCATTCTGAGAATGAGTGGAGCACAAAATTAACATTTAATAATTAGTTATATGCTGGTTAACACAACACTTGCACTTCCTTGTGATTGACCAATAGGTGTGTCTCTATAATTTTAGATAAGCATTATAATTAAATTTCAGTTACCCGTCGTTTAAACTATGTTTTCATTTTAAGACGTAACTCTTCTGAAATGACTAAGACTATCCAATCTTGTTTATGTGAGACTTTCAAAACTACTCTCATAATGCTGTGGCATCTTCACACATGAAAATAAAAGTGTGCATATGAGCAAAGTCCCTACGTAAGTCATTGTATAGTTTAAAATCACTTTATCCAAAAAGGCATTTAAAAGTAAAATTATGCATTTTATTCATCCATTCCATCAGCTGAGAACTGCTCTATTGTACAAATACAGTATTGTACAAAAATCACAAAATGTTACAAAATAAAAAAGTACAAACTGCATTACTTAATAAATATAACTAAAGTAGCTAAAGTGAAAATGAGATAGATTTCAGGTTGGTAACATTGTTTGACCCAGCAAACCATACAAGCTGTGTTTATTGACATTTTTACATAATACAGGGCAATCCTATTTTTGCCTTTGAGAATATTAAGACAGTATTCTCCTGCTATCAAACAACTGCCGAAGTTGGAGGCAATTATGCTATTCGTTTTCAAAGATCTTGGCTAAGTCCAAGCAGCCATGTAAAAGCAGGAGTCTTGTCTTGTCGTAATGTTTTGTCATATTAAAATCCTTTAATAATAAAATGACAAATATAAATAAAAACACTTGAGAGCACCAGACAATCTAAACACCAACCACTGCCATGGAGTCAGTTTTGACTCAATGCTACCATACAGGATGGAGTAGAGCTGCTCCATAAGGTTTCAAAGGATGTTAATCTCTCTGGGCAAAGATGACCTCATCTTCCCCCTCACAGCAACGGGTTTAAGGGATCAACCTTTACCAGCTGAGCACTTAAGCGCTGTGCTATTCGAGTTCCTTAAACATGGAACAGAGCAGAAAATAATCCACCTTTCCATCTGCAAATATCTTTCATTCAAGTAACAGCTGGCACTATTTAAAACAAAACAAAAAACTTTCACAACTCTTCCTTAAATATTTTTTTTTAGAACACTGACCATTTTCTAGAAAAATAGTGCTTTTTCAAAACAACGATCTGTTTCTCTGTAAGCAAAATGGAATGGGCCAACCACCTGGTAACATGAATGCATAAATATTAATTTCAAACAATTATTTAAAAATTGTAAATCCCAAATTTCAACAACATAACTAATAAATCACAAACTGTTCAAAAGAATAAACTTCATATAAAGCACATCTCTGGACTGACGCCTGAAAGCCATTTGTCAAAATGGAACGTGTCACAGGCGCTCAAAGTACACCAAATTTTAAAAATGTGTGCAAAAATACATTTTTATATAAAATAGATTGCCAGGAATGAATAAATTTTACACTGTGAGAAATCAGCTTGCAAATCAAGTAATGCTAACTTTATACAGCAAATTATAAATAGCAGTAGGATAACCCAAAGCTCTCATAAAACATCATTTAGGTGCCCAGCAACCTTCAGCTCTGGGGAGAAAACATTCAAAAAAATGATTAAGGCATTACATCTACAGTAAAACTAATAGGAAGTTTAAAAGTGCTATTACCCTGATTTGAGTTCGTGTAATTCTCCAAACACAAGTTATTTACGCCATTTCTCTAGGGTGTTATTTTCACACATTTCAAGAGCATGCATTTTGTTCGATATACATTTTGGAGAGGGATATGGCCATGGATTTGGCAAGCTCCTCGTCGCGTTTTCTTTGCACTTGAGTCTGTTTGCACCAATTGTCATATTCAGGGTTCGGGTAGGAGTGATCAAACACCGCGTCGTAGTGTCCGTTACTGAGCCAACTGAGCCAAATGCTAGGCCTGAGGGAATCCTCGGGGCCCAGATAGTGGATCATGGTGGACACGGTGGGGCTCTCCAGGCGCCCTCCGGTCGTTAGGTGGATATTCACATTCAGCATCTGCCCCATTGCCAGCAATTCCGGGTACCCGGCCCACGCTCCGTCTTGAGCGGCAGCGATGATGAACTCCCCCACGTCCCCCTCTATCAGGGGGCTGAAGTGGTCGAGGTGGTCGGCGATGTAGTGCACGGTCTGCTCCCGCAGCTCCCGGTGCAGGCTCTGGTCGGCGTACACGGCCTTGCTGACCGCCCGGTAGAGGCAGTTGCCATCGGGAATGATGTGAAAGCGGTACTTATTCCTCTGCCGCAGGTACTTGTCCTGCTTCTCGACCTCCGCCAGGTACAGAGCCAGTTTCTCGTCTCTGGGGTCCGCCCTGGGGACGACCCCCGCCTCCGGCGCGCTGCTCGCAGCCACCTCCCCACTCCTCGCGGCGGGCGCCTCTGCCTCCGGGTCGGGCCGCCGCGCCTCGGCCGCGTCCGCGAGGTCGCCCCGCTCCCAGCTCCGGGGGCTCCGCTCGGCCGGGAGCTCCTCGCTCCACGAGCCGGGGCGCGGCTCGGGGCTTCCGGGCGGCGGCGGGGGGCCTCGGGGCTTGGCGGTGGCCAGGGCCTGGCGGTGCTCGCTGAGTCGGAAGTTTCGCTCGGGCCCGTCCTGGCCCGCGGGTTCGGGGCCGTCGGGCCTCAGCAGCTCCTCCAGCAGCCAGGCGGAGGAGCCCCGGCGCGGCGGGAGCGGGGCGCCGGGCGTCGGGGCCAGCAGGAGGCAGCGGTGGCCCCGGGCCCGTCGGGCCTCGGCGGTTTCCCCGGGAGCCAGGTGGAGCAGCCCCGGCGCGGCGGGCGCGGCGGCGGCGGCCTCGGGCCCGTGCAGGAGGAGCCGGTCGGCGCCGAGGGCCCGCACGGTGATCTGCGCCGTGGACGTGTAGTGCGGCGGCAGCGGCGGCTTGCAGGACCCGCCGGCCGGGGTGGTGGCGGCGGCCGTGGCGGGGGCGGCGGCCCCGGACACCATCTCGAAACAGGAGGAGAAAGCGGGCATCTTGGCGGCGGCTTCTCTGGGCTCAGCAGCCGCGGCGGGCTGGCACTCGCCGGTCTCGGGCTCCGGCGCACTGCTGGTGGGTCCCGGCGACTGCAGGGAGACCTTGAAGGGGGAGGCGGCGGCGGGAGCAGCGGGGCCGGCGGCCGTGGGACCCGGTGCCCCGGCTGGGTAGTGGGTGCAGACGCTGCTGTAAAGCTGCATGTCCCTGCCCGCCGCTCAAGCCCCCTTATAGGCGCGGCGAGCCCCTGTGTGGGGGACACACCCTCCAGACTCCAGAGTGGGGGCCGCTGCCGGCCAAGAGCGATGACCCAGTGTCCCTAGAATAGAAATGACCGAAGGGCCACCAGCAACCTTCTCCAGAGCGTCAAGAACCGCAAATAGCGCCGGGGTCCCCGCCAAATTCCTGCTGCGCCACAGCGCGCGATGGGGGCGGGGAGGAGGCGAGCGCTCGACCCCGGCCGGCGCAGTCGGCCCGCAGACCCGGGGCGCCGTGCCCGCTCCCCTTTCTCCGGCCTGTGGCGGGCGCTGGGGACTGTCGGAGGAAGCTGCCCGCCCCGTTGGAGCGCGGCCCGCCGCGAGAAGCTGATCTGGGCGCAAGGAGGGGGCCGGGGGGCGGGGCCGGAGCTTGTTTACCTCAGGCCGCGAGGCCTGGTCACGTGGGCCCGCTGGAATGTGCGGCTCGTCGCTGCGCCCCATTCACTCCGGAGGGCTCGCCCCGCCCTTCGGGTCCGCGCCCGCCCGCCATCAGCGTACGTCACGGGCGTGGCCCGTTGAGCGAGCGGCGCTCTCGCGGCCTATGTGTCGGACGCGCGCGCGTGGGGCCCTTGGGCGGGGGAACGCTGAGGCTTAATGGCCTGCTCAATCCCGGGGCTCTTGGTTGCTACCTGCAAAATTTCTGCGGGCCACTCCACCCATTTAAACCCAAGACTTTCTTGCCGCACCCATCTCGATGAATGGTAGCAAGATCAGGGCAGTTTAGGGCAAGCCAGAGTGCTTGCTTTGAAAGCTTGCCTTTCAGAGAACAGATTCTGCTGGGTATGCAAAATCAAGAATTGCCTTATGCCACCTGCAGGCTCCTGGGCCACCATTCCTGTATCCATTTACCACTGCCTTTTTTTGATCCAGTTTTTTAAAACTCAAATACTTAATAACCATGTAGTTCCCACCCACCCCGAGCGCTCAGTTCTTTCTGCTCTGCTGCACAGAAACTAACTTTGCTACACTTCTGGTTGGCTCCTGCCAGTCAAGAAATACTTTGCTTGGACCAAAGGAAGCTTTCCAGTCTTTCTGAATTCTCCATTTAAATATGTGCAATTGCACTTAGGTCAGAGACAGAGTGGAATGGGTCGTGAACTTCTTTCTGAAGGAAAAATATGATATTGCAAGCATTTTTACTCACTTCTTAGTATTCCCTTTGTGACAGAAGAGTCATGTGATCAATTATTAACTCGTTAGCAGCTTTAACTATAAGTTAAGACTTTGAGAAGATGCTAAATTAAACTTCTAATCGGCTCTAATTATTACTAAAAAAAAACACAACTGCGCTGTCCATGTGTCAGAGCAGAACTGTGCTCCACAGGATTTTCAATGACTGACTTTTGATGTTGGTAAATGTTACTGAAAAATACTATCAACCAGCAAACCAGAAAAATTCTTTACAAAACTCTAATAGAAAATACAGCATCACACTGGAATGTGAAGCATTAGAATAAATGTACTAGAGATATTGAAAAGAGAAATCTTAACTATTACAAAGCTAATGTGTGTTTTCAAGATAACGTTCATTTTCTAGAATCCTTATGACAAGAGGTAGGTTTGCAGTTTGTGACTAGGCCCAAATTGAGGAAGGTAGGAGATGATCACCTGCGGTTATAATTCAGAAGAAATCAGCCTTAAAATGATTTGGATTAATATTTTATAAAGAGAAAAAATGTACAATGTATCTACAGCGAATTATAAAAGAATTAAGGGATAAGGGAACTTCTACAATAAAAAGCATGAATCTTATTTGAATTTGTAGTTTACTTTCTTCCCAAGCACTGCTGGTAAAACTGAACTTCCAAATTTTCAGTTATCAGTTGTGTTTGTTAATGTTTAGTATCACCTATGGGCTCTGTCCCATCGTTTTGTTGTTACATTATAGTTAGTGCCATCTAGTCAGTTTGTGCAGATGTCATTTTTGTTAGATGCCTTTGAGTCCATTACAACTCATAGCGACCCTATCCTGCTCCATCCACATGATCTCTGCCATGCCTAAACGATCACCGTGACAGTCAATCTTTTTGAGGGCCTTCATCTCTTTCACTAACCCTCCACCCTTCCTAGCATGATGTCTTTCCAAGGGCTGACCTCTCCTGACATGCCCAAAGTACCTGAGAAGAGTTTTACCATCCTTGACTCTAAAGAGCAACTTGGTTACACTTCCCCCAACACAGATCTGTTCTTTCAGCAGCTCAGGGTATAGTCAATACTCTTGGCCAAAATCACTATTCAAAGACATCAATTATTTGGTCTTTCTAATTCATTACTCATTATTCACATGCTTGTAATATTAATTCAATGCAATATGTCATGTAATTTCTTTACTGCTGCTTCCATGAGCGCTGATTCCAAATCTAGATAAAATTAACTCTTTGACAACTTGAATATTTTCTCTATTTAACATGATGTCACTTGTTGGTCTCATTGTGAGGATATTTTTTTTTTTAATGTGGCGGTGTAATCCATACTGAAGACTGTAGTCTTTAAACATCAACAGTGTTTCAAGTAGTTTTCACTTTTCGCAAGCAAAGCTTTGATTCAGCAAAACTTTAGCAAGAAAAGTTTGCAAATGCAAAACTCTGCATACATCAGGTTGTTAATGAGTCTCTGCATCCCAATACCTTACTCTTCTTCATATAGCCCAGCTTCTTGAATTATTTGTTCATCACACAAATTTAGTAAATACAATAAAAGAAACAACCCAGATGTGTACTTTTCCTGATTTTAAACCTTGCGGTAGTTCCTTGTTATGTTCTCTTGGTCTATGCCTCTTGTTTCCTATAAGCACAAACAAAGGTTCTGGAATTTCTTTGCAATATTATCTATAATTTGTTATGGTTCACTCAGTCAAATTCCTTTGCAAAGACAGTAAGACACAGTTAAACATCTTTTTGATATTTTCTACTTCCAGTCAAGAATCATCCGGTAGTAGCAATGATAGCCATTGTTCCATGTCCTTTTCTGAATCTGAATATTTGACAGTCCCATGTTTGTGTACTAATGTATATTTTTAAGAAATTATCTGCAGCAGAATTTTATTTGTTATGGATGTTAATGTTCAATAATTTCTGCATTCTGTTGGAACACTAGTCTTTTAATGGGCAAGAATATGATCTCTTCTAGTAGAATGATTGGGTCTTACATATTTCTTGGCATATATGAGTGAACATATCCTACAAGCATATGTTTGATTAAATAAGGTATTTCATCAAGTCCTGAAACCATGGTTTTTGCCACTGTTCTCAATTCTGCTTGGATTTTTTCTGTAGCAAGATCAGTTTTTTATCATATTCTACCTCTGAAAATGACTGCACATTAATTAGTTCACTTTGGTACAGTAATTGTGTATACCTTTCATTTTCTTTTAGTACGTTCTGCGCTGTTCAATACTTTATCCACAGAATATTACAATTCAAAGCTTGAATATTTCATTAGTGATTTCAGCATAAGAAAATGTAAGCCTTTGGGTTTCTAACACCCAAGTCTTTGGGCACTTCATTATGATTTTTTGTCTTCTCAAGTGGCCCTTAGAAAGCTTCTGTTCAGCTCTTAACATCATCATTTGTCAATTCATAAAACACAGCATTCAAATGTGATTATCAGTCTCTTCTGGCATCTAGTTTTTTCATTTTTTAAAGTAACTTTTGCTTTATTCATGTATAATGAATGTCCTTTATGTTTGTTCTTTGTTTCTTCATGCTCAGTGTGCCAAAGCTATTCTTAGAAAGATCTTTAAATTCAGACGGGATATACTCAAGTCTGTTCTTAGGTTCTTGTGAACTTATTTACATTTTCTTCAGTTTCAACTGAACTTGCATATCTGTAATTGATGTTCTGTTTTGTTGTTGGTCCCTGGCCTTGTTCTGACTGTTGATATTGAACTTTTCCATCAACTCTTTGCACAGATGTGGTCAATTTTATTTCTGTATATTCCATCTGACCAGATCATGTGCTCAGCTGCTGTTTATGGTATTTCAGTGAATAAACTGTCTGTCTTGCAAAATTCTGTTGTGCATTCCTGGCCTTTGTTGCTTTCATCAATGTCATATTTTCCAACTAATGATCCTTCTTTGCTTCTAACATTCACAGTCCAATTATCATTAATTATCAACTCATTTTTATTATATATTTGATCAATTTCAGATTGCATGTTTGATAAAAATATTCAGTTTCTATTTTCAGCATTAGTGTTTATAATTTGAATAATATTATTTGTTGGTCTTCTTGTAGGGGTATAACTACTACCATATCACTGACAGTGTTTGTATTTTGTGAAGACAAATGTGACACAATTTCTCTTAAATTTGTCATTTCTAGTATAACAAATCATATTATTCAATACCAAATGGCCAGTACCAGTTTGTTTCAGATGCCTAAAGCCTAGGATATTGATTGCTCTGTGTTCAGTTTAATCTTTGATGAATTTCAAAACTCCACCTACATGACTAAGGTCAGCTTTAGTTGCAGTAGAAGTTTCCTTTTTTTAAGTGCTATTAAAAACATCTGACATGTGACATTCAAATTGTTGTTGTTGTTGTTATGTGCCGTCGAGTCGTTTGTGACTCATAGCGACCCTAAGCACAACAGCCCTAAACCCTGCTCTGTCCTGCGCCAACCGCCAACCACACTGCCTCTGACACACCCATCCCTGTTACCCCAGTCACCGAATCAATCCATCTCATAGAGGGTCTTCCCCTCCTGCGCCGTCCCTGCACCCTCCCAAGCATGATGTCCCTCTCTAAGGACCCGTCCCTCCTGGCAACATGTCCAAAGTATGTCAGACGAAGATCCAGAATCCTTGCCTCCAAGGAGTAGCTTGGTTTAATGCTCTCCAAGATGAATCTGTTTGTTTTCCTGGCAGTGCATGGTACATTCAGTACTCTTCTCCAGCACCACAGCTCAAAGGCATCAACTGTCCTTCTGTCCTCCCTAGTCAATGT